GGGCCCTTGCCTCCTCGGTGAACGGCGACCGGACCGACTGGTGGACAGACGGACGGCTGGACAGAAGGCCTTCGCAGAACTAAGGAGCAGAGCAGCCGAGCCAAGCCGGCAACTGCGGTGCGGCGGAGTTGGACGCAGCGGACGAACGCGAAAATCCAAAGTACCTTCTAAATAGTGCGCGGCTAGCACGGCGGTGTAATAAACACACGCAGCGCAGCTGTCGTAATGGGGGTTTGCGCACGGAGATTTAGCTCCGCCCCGATCGCTTAGTCAACGCGCTTTGGAAGCGGCGCGATCGTTGCTGTCAGCCAACTGAAGCTCGGCAAACAAAGCTGGTGATCGCTGATCGGTTCTCGGTGCTCGGTGCTCGGTGCCCGGTGCCCGGTGGGTGATAAGTGGGGGCAGCCTCGGCAGTATCCATCTGGTCCTTTCACACCATCGACCCCCGCCCTGCCGTCGCTGGCAGCACGACAGTAGAATAAGGCCGAACTGTCGTTGTTCCGCTTCGCCCACCATTAGGCAGTCAGTCGTTTTGCTGGTGCTGGCTGTCCAATGAAGCTTCACCCTGCTTAAGCAACAGTTTGCACTTTTGCTGATGGACACCTTGGCCGCCTCTTGGGCAAAGCCTCTTTCTTAGAATTTGTCTACTTGGTGAAGGTCCGCATAAATCTCGTTTGTAATAAGCGAATTGGCTTGAACAGCCGACTCGACCTCGTTGAGGCAAGACGCACCTGGTGTCGCCAGCGAGTTCCTGTAACTTTGGCACTTTCCGTTGTGTTCGGCTAACGCGGCCATATACGCTTTGATTAAGCTTCTACAAGGAGGTGTTATGTTTAATTACGCCAGCAAACGTCTTGCTGCGATGCGGATAGGACACCGATAGGCTTTCGCTAGAAAACAGTATGGCTTCGTTTCGTCTTACGTCGCTGGTGCATTATTTCGTATAACCCAAACGGACCATTTATAAAATACCGATTAATTATGCCTAGAGCACATGAAACAAACTAGCACCGTCGTCGAACGCTAATGTAACGTAACAACGCGGTTGTACCGCAGTGTCACTTGTTTCTGATGTCTGATTCCGATGAAGGCAACTTCGTTACAGTCACGTCGTTAGCGCATGGTTTGTGCGTGACATCCGGACCGGACATCGCCGAAACAGAGCAAAGCCAGGCCGGGCCGGGCGGCGCTGTAAAATTCCGAAGTTTACACAGCAGCAATACTCGAAAAGCGCCCCATCCGCTGCTTGTCGCTAAAAACGCGTTCTGCCAAGTTAACCGTTTATCAATGAGAAAACATGACGCTGGTCTGACCGACCGGCGTCATGTGCCAAAATCAAGGCTAACACGGCTTCGGTCACCGTCTAGATCGTCTAGCCTCTTCTATTGCTTCGCCGAGTTTACACGTTCACCAGATCAACATGACTTCCAACGCCACGACCGACTGTTCTTGACCACCACATACAGATCATCTAGCGGTCGTCAAAATCTACTCACCTGCCGGACGTCCACGTGACATCCGGACATCGAGTGCTAACTGTTTCGCCTTCGTAAGGTTTCATTTTAAAACTGTTTTTAACTATGGTCATGACGTGATACTGGATTTGGACAGTTGGATTATTTGGACCGGTCGGTGATCGGCGTGACGAATCGCATCCGCCGCAATACGCACGTCAATCCTCACAGTTTCGCGACTTCTCCCTTACTCTCAAAGCGGCCATCCGTGTTCCAGATCTAATTTGTTCACCGTCGTTATAAGTGACCAAGCGCATGCGGCCTTGTCCACCCACCAGGATACCGGTCG